TCCTAAACCCCACGCTCTGGAACCCCAACCCCCCCGAATTTAACAAAGACTCATATCCGAACCTCGAAGTTGAAACTCTGAAACTGCAACCACTAAACCCTAAACTGAACCCTAAACCCTAAACCCTGAATCCTAAACTAAACCCTGGCCCTAAACCCTAAAAACTAAATCTCAGAAGTGCCGGGCTTTCGGACATTGGGTTGTCAGGTTCCGGATCAGGGTTGTAGGGTTTAGGGTTGTAGGGTTTGGGGTTTAGGGTTGCCGGGTTTAGATTTAGGGTTGTTGGGTTTAGGGTTTAGGGTGGTAGGGTTTCGGGTTGCAGGGTTTAGGGTTGTACGGTGTAGGGTGGGTTTAGGGTTGTAGGGCAATTGTAAGGTTTAGGGTTTTTAGGGGTAGGTAGCACATCCAAGATGCATGTTGTGCCCCAGAGTCCACTGCAGGTAAGCCAGGCCAACACAAACGCAGAGTGTGGAGACCACGACCAAGCCCCTTGAGTACCATGGCCTCGGTTCAAGACATACTCCCCAAACCCTAAACCGTCTCTACCTATGTGTATGTAAACCCTAAATCTTCTCGTTTCTGCCAAACTGTGGCTAGTACTACAGGCCTCCGTGAACGGTTAGGTCCTTCGGCGTCGGCACGCCTGTCCCGTTCACGTTGGATAGTTGTGTGACGACAGCTTAGGCTTCTTCCCAGGCATGCTGAGAAGGAGAGAAGCATCTTCCGATGTCATCAGAAGGCTCGGAGGATACATTCATGAGACGAGACTCTACCTCGCCATGCTTGTCGGAAACGCCAGCTTCCAAGCATGAGACTTATACGATCATGGTTCGAATTAGACTGACAACTAGACGTTCATTTCGACATGAATGACATGTGTGTTGAACACAAGGCCTATATTCCTAACAGCAGCGAAAGGAGTGGTAATAGTAAGAGCAATAGCAGCCACAATGGTCGTCGTAGTGCGAACACGAAACACAAGTAAGAACAGTAAGAATAGCACTAATAGTAGTATCAGCAATCCAAAGAATGAACGGCACCACTGGCTCAGAGACATCATATTCACACAGGTAAAAACTCAGAATACAAGTACCGGTAGTCCAAGTACTTACAGCAATAACATTGAGAACAGCAATAATGACGATCATCATAAAAATATTGAATGGTGATACTCGTCATGGTCGTAATCATACTTGTAATAATAACAAAATGATAAACACAATGCTAGAAAACAATTCAGCAACGGCCGTGATAGAAATACTAGCAGTACTAGTAATACCCGCAAAACTACTAACGCAGAACCAGTAGTCATGCTGGCAAGAACGATAGGAACAACAATGAGAACAACAATTAATGAGAAACTCGCAGTATGGCGCTATTGATATGTCAAAACTGGCACTGACGATCTCAACAGCAGTAGAGAGGAGTATTAGCAATAGTGCGGTGAGGGCGATTCTTCTTCATCACGGCGGCATAGGTCTTGCTCACCGTTGCGGCGTGTGTAGGGTTCGGTTTCTCATGTGACGGGTTTGTGGCTTCAGGGTTTGATGCATTTCGTTTGGACTGGCACGGGACAACATTCCGAGCTATTTTCTTCTGAGTCACACGAAAAAGCCATCCGAAGAGTTGTAGAAGCCAATATCATTGCAGAAAGTGTCACCACTGCCCAAGCAGCCATCCCCGACATCTTTTGTTTGCCCGTCCTTCGAAAGCACGACACTATTGGGCGGGTTGGGGGTCTTGCATATACCGTTCTCGCACCACAATAGCATCCCCGGAGCCCCCGCTGACCCTAAAAACCTAAACCCCGAACCCTAACAGCAGAACCCTAAACCCTAAACCTTACCTTTGGTTAGTAGGGAATGGGGGAATGGGGTACAATTATGACTACTATTACTACCTCCCTACTAACCGAAGGTAAGAAACCTGAACTTCTAAACTGGCCCTACACAAGAACTATACTGAACTTAGAACCCTAGCAAAAATTATAATTTTAGCTGTTTCTTAGGGATTATAATAACCAAAAATTAAACATGTATTTCTAAGTACCCCTAAGAGAAGTAACTATCAACCGGCCTTAACACTCGAACAGTTGTGGGCAACACCCCTCGACTATACCCTGCAACTATAGAAACCTTCTTGTTTAGGGTTTAAGGTTCAGGGGTCTTGAACCCTTCTGGAACCCTCAACAAAGCAGGTCCTCTCGGAAGAGCTTCTTGAACTTGAGCTTGATGTTCCCAAGAATGCGGGTGGCACGATCCCCCGCTGCGCCGACCCACTCAGCTTGGCTGTCTTCCCTCCCGGGGCTTAGGCTTTACCCTGACCCTAAAGAACCTACTTGGAGGGGAAGGGGACTTATAGCGGAAGTATTGCTTAAGAATTCATTGCTTAAGAATTTGAGGGGCTGAATTTCGACGCAAATTAAATAGTGACAATTCACCCATGGGTTGTGTGCCTTTGACTTAAGAATTTGAGCCCCCCCTGAAATCTGGATCCAGATTCTTAACTCCTAGGCTGTGCACAAGCAGGTCCCGGTGTGGAAACCTCCAAATTACTTATCTGAGCCCTCAGATTCTTGGCCCCTACACCTGTACACAAGCAGGTCCCGGTGTGGAAACCTCCAAATTAAGAATCTGAGCCCTCCTCCAAATTAATTATCTGAGCCCTCAGATTCTTAGCCTCTACACCTGTACACATGGAAACCTCCAGATTAAGAATCTGAGCCCTCAGATTCTTAGCTCTTAGTAGGACTGTACACAACCAGGTCCCGGTGTGGAAACCTCCAAATTAAGAATCCGAGCCCTCAGATTCTTAGCTCTTAGTAGGACTGTACACAAGCAGGTCCCGGTGTGGAAACCTCCGAATTAAGAATCTGAGCCCTCAGCTTCTTAGCCCCTGCACCTGTACACATGAAAACCTCCAAATCAAGAATCTGAGCCCTCAGATTCTTAGCTCTTAGTAGGACTGTGCACAAGCAGGTCCCGGTGTGGAAACCTCCAAATGAAGAACCTGAGCCCTCAGATTCTTAGCTCTTAGTAGGACGGTACACAAGCAGGTCCCGGTGTGGAAACCTCCAAATTAAGAATCTGAGCCCTCAGATTCTTAGCCCCTACACCTGTACACATGGAAACCTCCAAATTAAGAATCTGAACCCTCAGGTTCTTAGCTCTTAGTAGGAGTGTACACAACCAGGTCCCGGTGTGGAAACCTCCAAATGAAGAATCTGACCCCTCAGACTCTTCGCCCCTACACCTGTACACAAGCAGGTCCCGGTGTGGAAACCCCCAAATTAATTATCTGAGCCCTCAGATTCTTAGCCCCTGCACCTGTACACATGAAAACATCCAAATTAAGAGTCTGAGCCCTCAGATTCTTAGCTCTTAGTAGGACTGTACACAACCAGGTCCCGGTGTGGAAACCTCCAAATTAAGAATCTGAGCCCTCAGATTCTTTGCTCTTAGTAGGACTGTACACAAGCAGGTCCCGGTGTAGGCTCTTATTAGGGCTGGTTCCCAAGCTGGAGACATTCGAAAACCTCCGAATTAAGAATCTGAGCTCTCAGGTTCTTAACTTTAACAGGCTCTTATTAGGGCTGGTTCCCAAGCTGGAAACATTAGAAAACCTCCGACTTAAGAATCTGAGCCCTCAGATTCTTAACTTTCATAGGCTCTTATTAGGGCTGGTTCCCAAGCTGGAAACTTTAGAAAACCTCCGAATTAAGAACCTGAGCCCTCAGATTCTTAACTTTTTAATAGGCTCCTATTCGGGCTGGTTCCTAAGCTGTAGACCTTAGAAAACCTCCGATTTAAGAATCTGAGCCCTCAGATTCTTAACTTTCATAGGCTCTTATTAGGGCTGGTTCCCAAGCTGGAAACTTTAGAAAACCTCCGAATTAAGTATTAAGAACCTGAGCCCTCAGATTCTTAACTTTTTAATAGGCTCCTATTAGGGCTGGTTCCTAAGCTGTAGACCTTAGAAAACCTCCGAATTAAGAATCTGAGCCCTCAGATTCTTAACTTTCTGCTGATAACTGAAGGTTATCAAGGCCCTGCCGCTTTAGTCGGTAGAAGGCTGGCAACTTCTTCGAGGGACTTTGTGTGTCTCTGCAAGGATATGCCGACGACGCGTTGGCTCAAGGATGCAAAAGGACGAGCTCTCCGAGGAAAGGCCATCCGGGCCGCAGGTAGGAGGGTTGTGCGTTTGGGTTTGCGGTTGGGGAAATTTGAGAAGGGTGTTTAGGCTCAGGCCGGTGACCCTCTTCGTTTGGACCCCTCCCTTTGGTCAGGCCCTTAGGTTCGTTCAGGGATCTTCGGTGCTTGATTTTGCGTTTTATCTTGTCTGAGTGGGGATTACATACTGGTGTGTCTATCCGTTTGAGTTTGTGCTTCGAAATCATAAATCTCTTATATAGAAGACGTGCCATGGCCCAGCCCTCGAACTCCGGTGGTCAAGGCGACCAACAGGTTATGCGAGCCCAAACTGCAGGGCCTGGCATTGAAGGCGAAGATACGGCCCCAGACTATGCAGCTGCACTTCCGTTGCTGCCGAATGGTGTGGATAGACCGGAAGCTTCGCCCCAGAGCATGCAATCACTCCCCTGGTCGCCGAGTGTGATGGGATCAGGAGGAGAACATGGTACGTTAGATCCAGTTGCTGAGCAGCCGCCGGCGCCGCCGAGGCTTCCTGTCGGGAGTTTGGCAGGTTCTGGCCTGGATGTGAGGGCGCCATCAGGAGCTCAATCGATCGAGCTACGAAGCCCCAGTGCGACGGCTGAATGGCCTCCCGCGCTGAGGTGGATGGGACGGCTGAATGAGTTCTTACAGCGAGCAACCGGACCCGTCGAGACGTTTACGGCGCTTACGAGGCAACAGCTAAGTGGGTCTAGGGAGGGTGGTTTAGTGGTTCAGCAGGAGCATACCTACAGACGACATTCAACATCACCACTACATTCAGCGGACCTGCGGCAGCAGCAAGCTACAGCGTCTACCTCAACGGTGCCTCCTTTGTTTTCAGCAGCTGCACAGCAGACAATGGAAGGATGGGCTACTCAGGCCCCTCTTCTGTATGGGAGCTCTTCGGCAGCTCAACAAGAAGGCTCCGACAGGGCCTCTTCTACATCGATTCCGAGAGAGCTGGTTCAAGAAGAAGTGAGACGACAGGTCATGGAAGCTATGCGAATGCAGACTGCTACGATTGAAGAGCTGCGTCGAGAGAATGAGTTGTTGAGGGCCAGACAGGCCTTGGAGGAGCGACAGAGTGGACCGCGAGGTGATCAGTACGGCACGCTGCCGGCTGAAGGACCTCACGGTGATGGGGCTCTGAGTTTGCAGCAAGCAGTACCGCACGGTGATCGGGCTTCGCTGGTGCAGCAGAGCGTACCTCAAGGTGATCGGGCTCTGGTTGTGCAGCAAAGTGTATCTCCAGGTGATCGGGCTTTGGGTTTGCAGCAAAGCGTACCTCAAGGTGATCGGGCTTTGGCTGTGCAGCCACCTGTACCTCCTGGTGATCGGGCTTCGCTGGTGCAGCAGAGTGTACCTCCTGGTGATCGGGCTTATTCTGAGCAGCATACAAGGGCTTCTGATGATTGGTCGCAGTCTTTCTCCTTCGGTGGCCCCAGCGGAAGGTCTCTCGGAGTGCAGTTTGATCTGGATCGTGAAGATGATTTGCCTGGGACGCAGTCTCTCAGTAGTCAGACTGGCTACCCGTTCTCGGGGTTACTACAGGGCGATGTGTGCGGAGCCTCTGAGGGTCCAGTCCCTCCAGCGGTTTCCACTCCAGTGGGTCGTCTTCGTGGTGATTATGGGAGTCGAGCTAGATCAAGGACGATGAGTCGGGAGAGAGTGTCTCCGCCTCCACCTCCTCCTGGAATTCCATATGGTTCCGCCTCAACTCCTGTAGATGGCGACTTTGGATATACTTCAGGTCCAGCTCCGCCGCCACCGAGCTCCTCGGGCACTGCTTCGAGGCCTAAGGCTGCTTTGGCGAGTAATCCTTTAGAGGCTTTGGTCGCTGGCATGACGCAGATTCAAGAAGTGCTCCTGAGGGGGAAGTCTGGAAGTGATACCGCTGAGTATGATCCTTCGAAGTCTGTTGTGGAGTTTCCAAAGTTGAAAGAGAATTCAGCGGAGTCAGGAGCCATCGACTTTCAGGACTGGCTTTACTTGGTGGAGCAGCAGGTTGGAAGCCTTGCTTCTGGCGCGTCGTCTTGGTGGTCAGGTCTTCTGGCTGCCGCTATGAAGGCCTATGGGGTCTATCAGGCTTCCACTCCAATCCAGAGGCTGACAGTTAAAGCCGAGTTGCCCCCCGAGTTGGATGATCCGAAGTATCTCAAGCTGGAGAAACGCGTTGCGGCCCTATTGGTTGCGGCACTGCCCCAAGCCATGAGAGATGAGATGGTTTCTTATCGGGTGCAACGTGTGCACCAGCAGTTGTTTCGATTGTTGGTGTGTTACCAGCCTGGTGGCAGCTCAGACAGGGCCTTGGTTTTGGCGCAGTTGGAGCCGAAGGACGGGCCGAATGATGTGACAGAGGTTGTTGCTGCTCTTCGGAGGTGGTTCCGATGGCTTCAGCGTGCTCGTGACCTTCAGCTGTCGTTGCCGGATCCATCAGTGCAAATCAAGGCGCTGTCCTCTATCGTGAGGAAGATCTCTGAGAAAAATCATGATCTGCAATTTAAGATAGCTTTGGCGAGAACAGAGCTTCGCACCGAGAGCAGGCCCACTCAAGAGACCGCGTTGAAGTTCTTCCAACACTTGTTGGCCGAGGTGGAGCAACTTGGACATACTAAGAGCCGGAGCAATGTGAACAGTGCATCAGCTACCACCGCGAGCTCTACTACCACGGCGGGGGATGATGTTCAAGCCAGAGCTCGTGCGGCTCAGGTCCAACCAAAGGGCAGCTCACCTTCGGCCCCCAAGGACGGCAAGGGCGATGGGAAGGGGTCGTGCAAGTGGTTTGTATCGGATCAAGGTTGTAGTTGAGGGAGATCTTGTCGATTTCTTCATGATTGGTCTCAAGTGGTGAAGTCTGAAAGGTGCCTGGTTTGCGGAAGCAAGATGCACAAGGTGAAAGATTGCCCAAGGAGAGAGCTCGAGCCGGCGAATGATAGCCCTAGTCCAAAGGGGCTGAACAAGAAGGAGCTTAAAGCCTTGGCTACGGTGTGCTCGGGTGGACTTGCTACTACTACGGCTACGGCAAAGAGTCCACCTCCTCTACCACCTCCAGCTACGGCACCAATGTCTGTGGCAGCTATGGCGGCAGCTGATCCTCCCATTCATCCTGAAGTCTCCAATGATTCGCTCAAGGAGGTGTTGGCTGAGACAACCAAGGTGCTAAAGGCTTTGACCTCTACTTCTTCGGGCTCTTTCACCACCGGTGCTCAACCTCCTCCTGCTGTGCAAGACCCTTTGCAAATGTTGGCTCGGAGATTGCAGAAGTTCACTTTGAGCAGCCTCGGGGAGAAGATGGCTCTCCTGGATTCTGGTGCTAGTCATGCCTATCGAAGGGCAGCTGATCGTGAAGAGCAGGAGCGAGCTCAACCGGTAAGTGTGAAACTTGCCGAGGGCGAGACTACGTTGTTGCAGACAAAATCTGGAACGCTCTTGGGGGATGCTTCAGCGGAGACGTTGGTCCCATTGGGGCAACTTGTCCAAATTCTTGGGTGCACTGTGCGATGGTCCAAGAACCGCCTCATCGTGAATCATCCAATTCATGGACGGCTGAAAGTTCAAGTTCGGGACTACTGCCCACAGATGGCCGAGCATGAGGCGCTCCGCCTTATTAGCGAGCTCGAGGAGAAGCGGTTGATGGAGATGAACAATACGGTTAAGGCCTTGGAGATGAGAGTGGCTCAGAGCGAACATGTTATGGAGTGGTTCGAGTATGTTCAGAGCTATGTCACCACTGGAAAGCGCGTGGAGCTGCTGGGAGCTCTCACTAAGGCCCCGTTTTTCAAGGACGTCTCCTTGGATACGATTGCCACGGCAGCAGAGGACATCCCCCTGCGTGACGTGGATGGATGGAAGCTTCTCAAGTCTATGCCATGGTCCAGAAGGAAGCGAAGGTCGCTGTATCGATCCAACGATTGGAATGTGCATCTTTTCTCTGGACCTTCGAGGCCAACGAGTACGACATCTACTACTTCCAGGTTGTCTGTCACTGAGGCCTCGGGTGTCAATGTTGAGGTCGATATCCTGGATTCGGCTTTGATGGATGTAACCAGGATGGACGGCGTCTTCAAGGTTCTTCTATGGGGAGCGGCTCGTGGAAAGATCAGGACTTTGATCGGAGGCCCACCGAGAAGATCTTATTTGGTCGATGATGATGAAAAGAGGGCCAAGGAGGAGCCGCTTGTGATCAGGATGTTGGTCTTGGCAATGGTGGCTATGGAAGGACGACGCCAGCATCGCAGCGATCGGTTGGGTTTTGCTTTGGAGCATCCGGACAAGGTCGTAGCCCAGGGAAATGTTTGGTCAAGCTCTTTGTGGAAAGGCTTTTCGGAGGTGTATGGAATGGAGGTGGTTCAGTCAGGACGCGGCTCTACGGGAACAAATATGTACCTGGAGGCCTTGAACTTACTGACATCAACTACCACGACTTCTGGAGTTTGGGCCAGTGAGTATGCTCAGGCGATTGGTGAAGCCGTTAATGCCTGGACGGGTTTTTCAGTGCATGAGTCGGTGCTTTGCTCTGTAGCTGCAGGTCCACCCCCAATATCATGTAAGATGACTGCGAAGGAGTGGCAACTACACGTGAGCCGGGACCACATTCCATTTCGCAAGGATTGCAAGCATTGTGTTCAGTCAGCAGCAGGACGACCTCATCGCCGCGTGACTCATAAATCTGCTTATGTTCTATCTGCAGATGTAGCTGGACCGTTCCGGGTCAAGGGGGTGAATACCGAGACTAATCAGCATCGCTTTATGCTGGTATGCGCTTACCAGTTCCCTAAGCTTCCTGGAACCCCAGATGCTCAGCATGAGTCTGTTGATGATGATACTGGTGCGGGCGCGGGCCTCGAGGAGTTGCTCTTCGAGGAGGAGGGCGGTGATGATAAGCATGAGATCATTGAGGAGAGTGGCGCTGATAAGCATGTGATCATTGAGAAGGATGGCGGTGCTCAAGCTGATGATGCGAGTGGCCCTAGTCCTGAAGAGGAGGCTGCAAAAGCATTTGAGCCGCTGGAGTTTGCTGTGGCTTATTTCGTGCGACCACTCAGATCCAGAAAATCCACTGAGGTCCTTCGTGCCTTACAAGAAGTGTATATCGACGTGAAAATGCTGGGACTACCTGTAAGTCGACTTCATTCGGACCGTGCGAGAGAATTCCGCACGCCTGCGGTCTCAGCTTGGGCCGCGTCGAGAGACATTCTCGTGACAAGGTCCGAAGGTGATGCGCCGGCGCAGAACGGCACTGCGGAACAAGCAGTGAAATATCTGAAGTCTCGAACTCGGATCTTGCTTGCATCGGCGCAGGACTCAAGTGGAAGGGACATCAAAGAAGTGAAGACGTGGTGGCCGATGGCCGCTGAGACGGCAGCTGTGCGTCAGAGATCTTTGGTGTTCGGTCTCGAGTCAAATCCCCCGGCAGGCTTTGGAACCAAGGTTTTCGTGAAAAGAAAGAGATATGGTGCTGAGGCTCGTGATCTTGATCCTAAGTGGAGCAGCGCGGTCTACTTGGGGCCAGCGAGGGATGTTCCTGCGGGTCATGTTGTTCTAACTGACGACAATCATCTGTGGAACACCTGCAATGTCCGACAGCTACCTGATGTTCCCATGGAGCCGGATCCCTCAACCTTGGCAGCTAGAAGGAGAATCTCCGGAAAAAAAAGGCCGCCAGTCGCACCTATACCTTTGAAGGCTTTGAGGATTTCTTCTTTGTCAAAGGGGAAGCAAGAAGAGCGCGATAATCTCCTTGTTGAGTCCCTCCCGGTGTCTGAGATTAAGTCGGTTGCGAAGGTTGAATATCTTCCCAAGGGCGATGTGATGAAGCCTTTGGCCCAGGTGTCCCATGAGAAGCAGTGGTATGCCTTGGAGGACTGCTTCGCAATTCTTGAGGATACTCCTTTCAAGAAGCCATCTAAGACTAGGAACACAGAGGCTTGGGGAGATCCTGGGCCAGATGTTTATGTAACCTTTGGTGCCTACCAGCATGGCAACTTCACTGGCGTGACCAATGCCACGCGGGACTATCCGGAGCTGGTGCAGTACCTGACGGCGTTCATCAGGAGACACTCAGGAGAGAGCGATCCTTTCACAAGCGTGGTTGTGGCCAGAAATTTGGAAACTGGGCTGCACCGCGATCGCTATAACGTGAATGGCATGAGGAACATAGTCATTTCGTGCGGAGCCTATGAGCAGGGTGGATTGTGGGTCGAAGGATTCCATGATGGCTTGGAGTCAATGTCCTTGACCCTTCCCAATGGGCAGAAAGTTGACGGCTCTGTTGTGCCTACTGAAAATCAGGTGGTGAAGTTCAATCCGAGGCGACTCCACAAGAGCCTCACATGGAAGGGCACGAAGTGGACCATCATTGCCTATGTGAATCGTGGATTTGCTCGTCTACCAGAGGCAAAGGTGCAAGAGCTGCGGGATTGCGGCTTCCTTGTTCCTCGGTGTGAAGAAGCTACGTTGAGCCAGCTACGCCTTCAGGAGGAGCATGTGGAGTTTGATTATTGCGAGACCTCTGATGAGGAGGAGCATTTCGTGCAAAGCGTGGCTGCAGAATCGAGTCTTGTTAACGTGAGGAAGCTCCTTGATGAAGAGGAGAAGATAGAGTCCATTGGTCCTGGCATCTTAGACCAGGAGGAGCGGGACGCAATCGCCCGCGTGAATGTCAAGGCGATGCATCTCTGTGAAGCATTAGAGGCAGCTGAGGCCAATCGATGTGACGATGCAGGTGATCTGGACAGCCTTAAATGGTTCCGGTTGTGTCGGCTTGTTGAAAGTGGAGAACAACATGGAGTTGAAGAGCTGTTGAGAAATCTAAATGCTCCCTTGCAGGTTGTGTACACTCTGACGCTTGGGGAGGTCCGGGAGAATGTTACGGCTTGGAAAAAGGCGATTTTGAAGGAGGTTCAGGCGTTGATCAATTGTGGGGCCTTGGTTAAGCTGGACGCGGCCGAAGAAGACCGTCTTCAGCGCGAGGGCAAGCTAGTGATCTTACCGGCCAAGGGCGTCTTTACTGTCAAGCCCCCCGACCTTCAAGCAGCTGCGGAGGCAATCCAGTCAAAGCCGCAGGACCAACTAGAGTTCCCAGATGGTGTCCAGTCAAAGCCTCAGGACCAGCTAGAGTTCCCAGACGGTGTCCAGTCAAAGCCTCAGGACCAGCTAGAGTTCCCAGACGGTGTCCAGTCAGCAAAGAGTTCTCATAAGTCGGGTTCGATTCCAGTTGATGCCCTATACAAGCGTAAAGCAAGACTGGTCATTTGTGGCAATTTCGAGAAGAATATCAGTGAGGAGTTGTATGCCGGAGGTTGCCAAACGGAATCCCTGAGGATTATGGTTTCCCACGCTTCATCCAAGCCATTATGGGACGCAGCGGTGACAGACATTCGGAACGCCTTTGTGTTAGCTCCGATGTGCACTGATGCTACGTATGGGCTGCGGTTTCCGAAAGTGTTTCTTCTCGCTTTGGGTCCAGAATGGGATTGGCTTTACCGTGTAGATCGGGCCCTTTACGGCTTCAGACGCTCTCCACGCCTTTGGGGCCTATTTCGAGATGCTAGGTTCAAGAAAGCCAGGATCACACTTCAGAGCCTTGTTGGAAATCGTGTGGCGGTTCTCAGAAGGTTGGTTGCTGATGAGAATATCTGGCAGGTCGTTGTTCTAAAAGAGGGCAGCGAGGAGCCAGATTTTGTGGCCGCCTACATTGTGGTCTATGTTGACGACATCTTGTATCTCGGAGAACCAAGCACGATTTCAGATGTTCATGCGTGGTTGAGCGCTGAGTGGACCTCCAGTCCTTTGACATGGGCGTCTGATATGGATGGTATAAGGTTTCTCGGTTTGGAAATCTATAAGTCCAAAGTGGGATATAAGATGTGCCAGTTTGGTTACTTGCGTGAGCTCCTACGTCATCATGATCTAACGAATGGCCCCGGTGCTAGAACTCCATGTCCGAGAGAGTGGCTCATCGGCGAGGGCGAAGTGGAGCAGGCTGTGTATGATGAAGTGAGCTTGAGAAAGGCTCAGCAGATGACAGGTGAGCTGTTGTGGCTTAGCACGAAGTCGAGACCAGACCTCATGCATTCGGTCTCCAGCATGAGCTCTCTTTGTTTGCGAGATCCAATCCTGGTTGAAAGAATCGGGAAGCGGGTTCTTGCCTACTTGTTTGCTACTTCGCAGCTCTCTCTTATGTTCTTCGGAAGCAGTGATGAGCCGGAACATTCTGCTGTGGCCTACTCGGATGCCTCTTTCAGCCCATCAGGCGGAAGGTCTATTGGCTGCTCTCTGATCACCTACAATGGCAATGCAGTGGCTTGGCGCTCCGGGCGCCAGAGCCTGATAGCACTGAGCACGGCAGAGAGCGAGTTGATAGAAGCGGTTGCAGCGGTTCATCTTCAGGCAGGAATTTCATCATTGACGTCAGAGATCAACGCTTCAGAGATTCATCTTCTGTTGCTTGTTGACAACAGTGCAGCTGTTGGCTTGTGCACTGATGCACCAGGCACATGGCGCACGAGACACTTGCGCGTCCGCGCGGGTGCGCTTCGAGAACTTGTTAGAGAAGGCGTTCTGGTTATCCGACACATCCCAGGTCTTCTGCAGAAAGCTGATCTTGGAACCAAGGGGTTTGATGCAGTTCGTCTTTTTGAGCTACTTGAACTTTGGGGTTTGGTGCAAAATGAAGATGATCGACCTCGTATTCCTTCTCCAGCAGCGATACCGCAAGCAGAAACGACTAGCAAGACAAGCAATCATGTAGCAGGTTTAAGGGTTACCTGGGTTCATGCAGTTGCACGCCTTGCTGTGGTGCTTTTCTGTTTGACGCAGCCTGTTGCTGGCAAGAAGTCCAAGCCTGACATCGAGGTCAATTTCGCTTGGGAGTTATATGGCATGGTTTTTCTTCTGGTAGTTGCTGGGATAGCCATTTGGGAGGTTGCCAAGAAGATTTGGGGGAGGCTATATCCTGAAGAGCCTGAGTCGCGAGAAGCTAGACGTCTTAGGAAGCTGCAGAGTGCTGTACGAGATGAGCTTCAGGGAATGGGTTTAGGTAGTCAAGCCACGTGGTCTTCTTCAAGCTCTTCTTCTCAGGGACATCCAGTGCCTCCTCCTACATATGCCACCGGGGGCGAGGAGCATCCATACCCTCCTCCGCCTCCACCATATCCTACTGGAAGCTTTGATGATCCCCCACACCTTGAGGAGCTCAGGGGCACCTTTAGGAGAAGGCGAGGGCGAACTACAGATCAAGCAGTTCAGACTGAGCCTCGGAGGATTCAAGGAGAAGTTACGATCCAGTATACTACGCCGCTGTATGTGACCAAGAATGGGAAGTGCATTCACGCTAGGGACACTTGTTCGTCCTTGGTTGCGGGAGGCAGAACAGAGCAGCGGCACCTTTGTCAGCTTTGCAACAGAGGCTGATGACGATGGGGAGTTGAAGCTCCTAAAATCCTTCTTGCAAGACTGGTTTTTCTGAGATGGTGGGCTGCACATAGACAGATGGCCCGATTGGTTTAGAGCCGGTCGGATACCTGTAGTGTAGAGCCACGGACTTGGCGCCAAATTAATTCTTCGAATCCTGAGAGGACTGTCTGGCAGGGCTTAACCCCTGTCGGATGGCCCTAAGGGGAGGAGGAGTGCTGATAACTGAAGGTTATCAAGGCCCTGCCGCTTTAGTCGGTAGAAGGCTGGCAACTTCTTCGAGGGACTTTGTGTGTCTCTGCAAGGATATGCCGACGACGCGTTGGCTCAAGGATGCAAAAGGACGAGCTCTCCGAGGAAAGGCCATCCGGGCCGCAGGTAGGAGGGTTGTGCGTTTTGGTTTGGGGTTGGGGAAATTTGAGAAGGGTGTTTAGGCTCAGGCCGGTGACCCTCTTCGTTTGGACCCCTCCCTTTGGTCAGGCCCTTAGGTTCGTTCAGGGATCTTCGGTGCTTGATTTTGCGTTTTATCTTGTCTGAGTGGGGATTACATACTGGTGTGTCTATCCGTTTGAGTTTGTGCTTCGAAATCATAAATCTCTTATATAGAAGACGTGCCATGGCCCAGCCCTCGAACTCCGGTGGTCAAGGCGACCAACACTTTCATAGGCTCTTATTCGGGCTGGTTCCCAAGCTGGAGACCTTAGAAAACCTCCGAATTAAGAACCTGAGCCCTCAGATACTTAACTTTAATAGGCTCTTATTGGGGCTGGTTCCCAGGCTGGAGACCAGGTCCCAAGTGGGAAACCTTTACGGAAAGGTGTGGAAGACTGCTCTAGCATAGTGGATTTGCGGCCTCCTCAATGCCTTTGGACCTTGGGTCAAACCCCGGCTAAGAATGTGCTAAGAATCTGAGGCCCCCCTGAAGCCCGCCAGGCAAGCAGAATGTGGAAGTGGCAGGAACACTCAAAGCTAAGAATCTGAGGGGGGCTGACCGGAACCTGACAAATTCTTAAGCAGCACTTCCGCTGTAATGGACTTAGCAAGCCGCTTATAAGTAGGGTTAAAATTGAGGTAGCTCCATTAAGGGTGCTTATAACTTTACTTATAACCTACTTACTAAGTCCCCTGCCCCTCCAAGTACCTTTTTTCAGGCTCCTTATGATGGTTTCCTTTTGCGTACAAGGCCTTAAAAGGTAGGTTCTTCGGGGTCTAGGTGGACTAGGATCGTTTAAGAGCAATTCCTGGTATTGGCATCAAGAGCCCACATCCGGGAAGACCAGGGGAGACAAGCGGAAAAAAGGATCGACAACTCCAGGATTTGCTGCCCACCCATGAGCCGTTTTCTTAATATCAACGGCAACCCTTACAGTAAACCGTTTGCCAAAAAAAGCTCCAAGGGTCTTATGATCTTCAATCCAGTGGCCCACCCGCAGCATATGTATCCTCATAACCCGCTGCAGCAGTGGTACCACGACATAGCAGGTCGTGAAGAGGAGATCTGCTCCGACAGCTTCCTTAGGTTTCAGGGTCCTGAGTCTAGGATTATGGTCTAGGCCCAGGGTTTAGAGTTTAGGGTCGAGGGCGTGCTTTGTTGCAGGACGGGAGGACATCAAGTAGCTGGACTTCGCAAGTCGGGGCAGTCCTCTTGATGTTGTGGCGTTGTCTCCTGGATAGTGCCCACGCAGGAAGTCATGAAAAAAAGTCCCTTTTCGACTTCACTGCTTCAAGGAACATGGGACTTAGTAACTAGGGTTATATTTTAAGGTAACCATACTTGTGATTACTTATATCCCCACTGAAGGTACTTATAACCTAACTTACTAAGTCCCTTGATCCTCCAAGTGTACTTTCCGGACTTCACTGTAGCGTTGGGAAGAGCAGAAACAGTGCAGAAACCTTAAACCCCAAACCTGGAACCCTAGGACTTAACCTCAACCCTAGACCTTTAGGGCTTCGGGGTTGAGGGTTTAGGGGTTTAGGGTTTGGGGGTTAGGGGTTCAGGGGTTTAGGGGTTTAGGGGTTTAGGGGTTTAGGGGTTGGGTTTCAACACCTCGAACGATGATCCAAACTGAACCCTAAACATAACACCTGAACCGCAAATCGAAATCCGAAGGGAAACTGAACACTGGCACATACTTGAAGGATCATGGGACTTAGTAACTAGGGTTATAATTAAGGTAACAGTACTTGTAGTTGCTTATAACCCCCATCAAGGTACTTATAACCTAACTTACTAAGTCTAGGATTGAGGTCGAAGGTTCCGCCACCTTCACTTTCTCTGCTCCGAGCTTATGGTTAAGGCTTTGGGGTTTAAGGTTGAGGTTTAGTTAAAGCTTTCGGGTGGAGGAATGTTGGGAGCACGCTCGCCGGGCACTAGCGACTAGAATGATGTAAGCTGCAGGCAGACATAGACATGGGAGTTTCCGAATTTAGGGGACCCCAATAAAGTACCCTAACTAGTAGGATGCTTATTATAAGGACCTCAAAATAAGGTACCCCTAATTTTCGGAAACTCCCATATGATCATAAGGACCCCGAAGCGGGAAAAGGGGGACGGGGGTCACAAATGCCGGCTCCTTGTGATGTGGGTGGTTGTCAAAATTATGGTCCCTTTTTGGGTCCCTAATATAATACGGCACCTAATATTTAGGGTACCCAAAAAGCGGTCCTGATTGTGACAACTGCCCATATGAAGAAGCATGAGCCCAAGACTCCGCGACAGCCATGGGATTCTTCCCTTGAGCTTCGCTGTGCACGTGGAATCTAGCATAGATCTTCGTGTAGGTGGATACCTGCAAAAGCAGGGAGCAAATCGAGCAGCCGAACCTTCGGTTTAGGGTTTAGGGTCTAGGGATTAGTGTTTAGGGCTTGGGGGTTTAGGGCTTAGGGTTTAGGGTATTTGAGCCTGCAATGAGTGTTTCTAGGAGGTGTTAGATTTAAGACCCAGAGCCGCTAGCAGCAGCCTAAAGAGGCTTCGCACTTAGGGAGTACTTGAAGGATCATGGGACTTAGTAAGTTAGGGTTCTTAACAGGGCCCCTATATAGGGTTCCTTAATAGGATCTATAGGGTTTAGGGTTTAGGGTCTACTTGGAAGGATCATGGGACTTGGTAACCAGGGTTATGATTAAGATAACCATACTTATAACCACTTGTAACCCCGATTAAGGTACTTATAACCTACCTTACTAAGTCCACCACTTATAACCCCAATTAAGGTACTTATAACCTAACTTACTCAGTCCCTTGATCCTCCAAGTAAGGGCACGCGGCTTTAGGCTTCAGGGTTTAGTTTCACATGTAGATCGCCATCGCCAGCATGACCACCGTCATGGTTGTGACTATCATCTTCATTATCATCGCCACTGCAATCGTGAATTGAGGACGACGGTCTCCATCAGAAACGCAACAACGCCACAAACAAAAGCAATTACGCTGACAACGACTCGTAGCACTATGCAGGCAGCATTTGTAACATCCCATAAACTCTACACCCTGAAACCTGAAACCCGAAACCCTGAAAATCCTCAACCCTAAACCCTGAAAAACTGAAACTCTAAACCCTAAATTAAAAGAGATCAGATCTGAGGCGCCAAATGATGTCTCAATTTGCCGCATTCGGGCGTCAGAGGTTCAGTGTAGAGCACATTTACGTCATGAGGGTGTTGCTTCGGGTTTGGGGTTTGGCGTTTAGGCTTCAGGGTCTTGGGTTTTGGGTCTTGGGTATGGGCTTTTGAGGCCGGGTTGTAAAAGTTCGGGATACATAGTTCGAGTTATGGGTTCAGAGGTGCGGTCCGGGTTTTCCCTAAACCCTACACCCTAAACCCCTAAATCCTAAACCCTAAACCCCAAACTCTAAGCCCTAAACCCTAAACCCCTAAATCCTAAACCCTAAACCCTAAATCAAGGGGCTTCGGGTTCCCGAGCCTCGAAGCCGGTCTTCAAGAAGCAGATCAACCAGAGAAGCACTTCGAGCAACCAGAACCACAGCAAGCAGACCTCTCAGTTTACGTTTTAGGACTTAGGGTATAGGGGTTTTAGGGGTTTAGGCGTTTCGGGGTTTAGGGGTTTAAGGGGTTTAGGGGTTTAGGGGGTGTAAGGGGTTTAGGAGTTTAGGGTTTGAGCAGAGGACGCTGCGGGAACCTGTTTTTGGGTTTGACCTATCAGTTGGTGGTGGAGTTGGGTTTTAAGGGATTACGGAGGCCTGAATGATTAACACTATAGCCTTGTAGTTGTAGCCCCTAATGAATGTATCACAATGTATCCCAAAACCCTCTTCTAATGGTTCAGGCCCCTGTATTTACCTTAAACTACCCACCAACCCTACTTTGTTGCCTACAAAAAACGGTAGGTTTTGGTAGGTTCGGGTTTTGGGGCCCATTATAGTATAATTATATTAAGGAACCCCCCAAATAGTGTTGGTAATTATTGAGGCCCCTATAGTGCGTAACTTCGGATTTGGGGCGCAGGGCATCTCAGGGCATGCTAGGAAGCCCTTAATACAGTAGAAGCCAGAGAGTTGGAATATCATTATCGTAACCCCTTTAAGGTAAATTATAGGGGATCCTACCATTAATCCATATTCCAAGTTTCTGGAGTTCCCTTTACATTCCTAAACCCTAAATCCTAAAGCTATAACTCGTACGGCAGCCTATCCAGCTGCTTCAAAGCTTGCCCTTGATAGTTTCTCTGTGGCTGTATACTCTCGTGCATTTCGCCCCTCCGCCGCATAAGTTTAGGGTTGAGTCTTTCGGGTTTAGGTTGTTTGGCCTGTGTGCTAAACCCCTTGGCCCTTGAAGAAGATCACACGAATTGAAGGACAAGGTATATTCCTTAATTCCCTCATAGAACCCGTATGGGTGGTTGTCAAAATTAGGGTCCCTTTTTGGGTACCCTAAACAATAGGTGCCGTTTTGTAATAGGGACCCCAAAAGAGACCATAATTTTGACAACCACCCGTATAGCTCCCATCAAGGAACCCTAAAACAAGACACCGGTGCCG